ACATCGTCTACGGTCAGCGGGCCCGTGTTGCTCACGTGTACTTGGTAGAGACAGATCTGCGGGCTTCCGCAGACCGGTTCTATGCCATTCAGGAGGCCTACAGCAAGAAAATTAATACCTCCAAGGGTGTGCCAATCTGGTTGTCGCCAAACAGAACAGCTGAGAAAAGACTCCAGAATAAGCTTACTGGCCTTGCGGGTGAGGTTCTTGTGAAGATCTGGCCGACTGAGGGGAAACCTACTCTCGAGTACAATTACAGCAAACAGATCATATGGGTCGATGGTTGCAGAATGGCTTCGAGTTCTTCTGGCCTTCTGTTCGCTGCGCGCGCCGACAAGATCATTGCCGTTGTGATTTCCGACGGGGAGGGTAACAAAGCAACCTTCTACTACAACTTGACGACCCTGAGTACCAAGCTTGGCCTTGAAACAGCACAGATTGAAATTCAGTTGCATGAAGCTTCGGCGGAAGGTCTCTGACACTCGTCCTCTGTACTAGTGAGGGGCTTTCAGATGTTCTATGTTGATACCTGGAATATAAAGGGCAGAAACATGGACACTTTCATTAATTATCTACACCTGGTGGATCCTTGTACAGACGCCATCGCACTACAAGAAGTGGGCGGATTAGGGCAGCTCGATACCATCATTTGTGTGGATGACTATTTGCAACTCAACGAGTATATCTTCGATGACGGGGAGGCTTCCGATTACCGATGTTTTGGTACCGACAAATGTGAATCATACTTAGGCCAGATGATCTTGATTGCTAGGGAGGCGGCTGAGTACGTTTGCGAGTCCTTCTGTGGCAAGCGAGTGATAGGCGTTAAGTACCGTGACAGATCGGGCCAGGAGCGTTGGATATTTTCGGTGCATCTCCCTCATTGTGACAATGACGATTCCGTTTTCGAGGGCGCTTTGCATGAGCTACGGACGTTATGCAATTCACATCAACAAGAGGAGACCGTTTTCATTGGAGATTTTAATACAGATGTGGGGTCGGATAGGGCAATCATCTTGGAAAGTACACTACAAGAATATGGCTTCACTATACATCGACCAGGTCATCCAACTAGGTTTGGACCATGTTCTGCTTCCTGCCTTGACTTCGCGGCCTGCAGCCAACCCATGACGAGACGTCTTCTGCCTCATCAGTCTTCCATCAAAGTTGTTTCCACTTCCCGTCTCGAGCTTGGATCTGATCATGAAAGGGTTTCTTTCGAGGTGATTTTCGGAGAAAGGGTCAAGGCTTCTAAGGCACCTCGACGTTCCCATGCTGCGCGGGGGAAGTGTGGAAGATACTCTGTAAAGACTGGCCTGGCGGATTGTTTACAGTGCATTGTGGATGACGTCACAAAGTTGGATCTGCACGGACAGTGGGAAGTACTCAAACAAATCCAACGACAATATTGCTATCGTGTACCCACGCACAAGTACAAGGACTCTGCTGGGTTAAAGCACATGTGTCGCGAACGGCGTGAGACGTCCGATCCAACTTTGAAGGCATCTTTGACACGCGCTATCTTGTCCAGGCGTTCTGCTGAGAAGGCCGCATGGCTTCAGGATTTGGAAGCCCGTGCCTCCAGCGGGGATGCGTGGGCCATAGCATACCTCAAGAAACGGCTGGCACATCAGAAAACCTCCTGGGATCCTTTGATTGTTGCTCAGGGGGGCAGCGCCGAGGCAGCAGATGCAGTTAAATCACATTTTCAACAAATCCTACACCCGACTGTCCCGGATATGTGTGCAGCGGAATGCCAGGCACTCTTTCAAGGATTCTTGCAATCTGCTGAAACGGAATCTGTGACGCCGTTTACTTGGGAAGAAGTGTCAAAGGCGGTTGACCACCTCAAAATCAACAAAACAAGCGGACGCAGTGGCATTCCCGGAGAACTTTTCAAGGCCATGTGGCAGGAGACCTCGGGTCAACAACTGGTTTTGGCCTTCTGTAACCGCATGCTCCTTGAGCCCCGGCACCCGGAGGATTTGCGCAGTGCCTTTGTGACACTCTTGCCCAAAGTGCAACATGTCGGAGAGCCACGCCAGATTCGTCCAATTAACCTTGTGGAACAATGTCACAAGATGTTTTCCTACTTATTGGTGCAGCGCCTTCAAGCTCGATGGCCGATACCCACAACACAGCATGGTGCCATCAAAGGCGGTCAAACCCTTGACGCTCTTGCATCAGCCCACTGGAACATTGCAGCTGACTCGATCAAACAAAAGACTGGCAGAATCTGGCTAAACACGGACATTGAGTCCGCCTTCGACAGTTTGCAGCATCAGTTTCTCATTAAGTTCCTTGACAAGCACACCCCAAAGGGATGTCGTCGAGAGGCTTCAATGCTACTTTTCTTGGTCTTTGGTCCCGTCCTCCACTTTACGTTCCAAGGCCTGTCATGGAGTTTTGGCCAAACTTGTGGGGTACAGCAAGGCCACTGTCACTCAGCGACTTTGTTCTCATTCGTGGTGGGTCACTTACTTCAGGAGATTTTTCAGACGTGGACTTTACAGGGGGAGACAAGTGACATTCAGTCTTGGGGTTGGCTATTTGTCGACGACCTTATCCTCATCTTTGATTCTTGGTATCAAGCTAGACGTTTAGTTCCTCTTCTCCAACAACAGTTCCTAAAGGCAGGCCTTCGGTTCAGTCCCGCGAAGACAGAACTGCTGGGCATGCAAGGCACGCTCAGTCTTGGAAAGCAACTCGAGTGGGCGTCGGACGACTTTTTGCATCAGGTCAAGTGGGTGACTGCGACGACGTATTTACGTAAGCCCTTGACCCACTTCCCAACTTCCGAATCCCTGACTACGATATTGTTTCCTGGTGCAAAGCGTCGTGCACATCAAGCCTTTCACAGTCTTCGTGCAACTTTGAAAGGACTTCGTTGGGGAGATCCCATGCTAGGCATACGTCTTGCTCAGAGATATGTCTTCTCCACATTTGCATGGTATGCGCCTTTGATGTTTCCTTCCCAAGTGCTTCTGCAAGCTTTGGCTTCTCTGCAGGTTACCATTTTGGTTCGTATGTTGCACCTCTTCATTCCACACACGGCATCTGAAGACGTTGCATTTTATCTGCACAGGATACGCCGTCGAGCTATCTTGGTCATGCTTGCTCATGTCCTACCTAGCAGCTGGAGTTGTCAGTGGCAGCTGCGCACTTGGAACTACCTTGGTCATGTACTTCGTAAGCCGGAACAACACTCAGCGAAACAGGCCCTCAAGAGACTTCATGATGCACAGCGCCCTAGAGGTGGGGTTGTGACCTCGCCTATAACTTGGGCGAGACATCTGCTGATGACAGCTTGCCCTGAAGCCTCGCAGCTCTGCCCCTGGGACACGATGTGTCACCTGGCGAGTGATCGCGATATGTGGGCTCACCGCGGCAGGTCTGCAATTCTGACTTCGCTTGAGCAGCACATTCACCCCATTGTGCATCTGAGTGTGTGTCCCAAGTGGCAGCTTTTCGTTCAGCAACATGTACCCTGGCTGTTCACGGTGTGTTTGTTGTGGCATGAGGAAGCTTGGTGCCTGGTGTGGATCGATACGATCGAAGGTGTCTGCCAGCTATCCCTGGACGACTTGTCGCAGTCTTGCTTCCTGCATTTCATCAGTCATGTACGGATGCTATACAATCCCTTTGCTCTTCAGTTCGGTCTCAGTCAAGATGATTATGATGTTGCGTGCAGTGCCCTGCATGGTGTTTCCAACGAATCATTCAAGCAATTCCAACTTGTTGTCATGTGTGAAGTCATTCCGAAGACATGGTTGGCGAGAGTCCGAAGGCTTCTAGCCAGCACGGGCTGTTCGACTTCTAGATGCCGTTCACTTGTTCGTTCCTATTAACTGGTTAGATCCCACATTCGTAACTTTCAAACGATTGTAATTCATTTGCCTGGTTTAAACCATCGACCGCTTCGCAAGAAATTTGAAAGATGGCACATTTATGTGCCCGATATGACACGATATCGTAACTTATCGTAGCCATGCACGCGATGTACAGCAATGTGTCGTTTCACTCGCAAATATGCTGTCACGAGCATCCTGCATGTTTCACAGCTGCGGGTTCAAGCAAAAAAAACCCTAAGCCCACAGACCCTAATTTTTACGTATAAACATTATCATGAAGTCACATATAATACATATATATATATATACATATAGGTATATATATATATATATATGTATACACGTGCACACACATATATACATATATACATAAATATAGATAAAAATAAATAAATAAATAAATAAATAAATATATATATATATTAATATTATATAATATATGTTAAAATCATACGCATGTTTCTACGGGGAAGATTATTATATACGATATATTGTGCTGGGAACGAGCGAGCCCGGGCACAAAAATATATATCCCCGCTTTTCAGTCGATTCGTCGGTCAGTGAATGCCAAGATCGGTGGAAGCAGGCTGGAATTCATGCAGCGACTGCAAGAACATGTTCTGCATGAGCTTAAATGTGAACATGTTGCTATGCCACAGGGTTTTGTTCGAGCGCCACGCCACACACATATATGCCATGTGTAGCATAGTGTACGATCATGGAGCTCCATCGAATTCTCCGGAGGATGACTATCAGATCTGCTTTAATATAGGTTTACATATCGTAGCCATGCCCTCCGTCGAAGCTGGTCTTTCTCGCAAGTCGAAGGTTGGCAAGCTGGCAAGCCTGATCTGGGACAACTTATGCCGAGACTACTTGTCTGATATCAGGGATACAGGGGCGCTGGTTCCCACTAATTCGCTGAGGCATCGTACCACGAGGCACAGGTTGCTTTGGGCCTCCAAGCTAGGGGGGCGATGGTTTACAGATGGGATGATCAAAGATGCACTGGCCCAAGTTCTTGATTCTCCTGGCCTTGAGCTCCCAGAAACACCAGGTTTTTCAAAAGACAACTGGCTTAGCACTACCTCAGCTAGTTTGTCGAAGCTATTGTCGAGGGCCCGAAGAAGCACCGTGACCCCAGAAGCCATGGATTGGGACGAGACGCAAGTTTGCGAGCAGTTAACCCTGGACCCGACGGAGGACTGAGCGTAGATATACTCGGAAATATTTCAGGGATTTTGCTATATCTGCCAAGCCCCGCGGGCAGGACTCGCAAAAGGTACTGGTGGACAGGCTGAAATCTTCTGGCCACTTCGACAGTGTTTCTTGCCTTTCGATAGCTAACATGCAGGCATGATTTGTGTTAGTTTATAATCTAGTTTGTCTTTAATATAAGGATTGCGAAATCCGGCCGGCGAAGCGCCTCCGACTTCGTGGCAAGACGTGCCCGTGCTATGGATCCAGCATGTTTCGAACAGATATATAGGTCATATCACGCGATCATGCGATCCCAAGGCCGAGCTATCTTTGCATTCCCGATGCTGAGGAAGTTGCTCCGTTCAAGATATATATACTCGTGTGATTCTGGTAGAGCTTGCTTTACGGCATATGTGGCACGATAAGCTGAGGACGAGGATCCTGATGAGGAAAACAACGATGAGAACTATGAAAATTACGAAGGTCCTGCTCCGGTTGCTTGGGATAGAACGGTAGGTCGCAAGATGAGTATATATTCTCCAACCAACAGATAATATCTGACCCATTCGATATCTCAGGACTGGGTCGATGGAGAGGGTGATCAGCTAATGGGCCTGGAGCGCGACGCAAGTCCGCAAGTGTCCGTGTGTTGGACTTTCAGATGTGTAATCTTATAAGTTGCTGGATCTGAGGCGAGTGATGATGGTCATGATTTTCATGAGCCGAAGTACTATGCGCAGGACCCTTTATCATATATTCTAAATTCCGAATTATTCCTATATAAAGCCTATTATACCCTGGCCGTGTGCGATAAACAAATTATTAGATCAATAATTGTTTGAGCCTTGTGTGTTTAGATATTATATATAATATATGTGTACATATATATAGATAATTTTATATTTATTTATTATTTATTTATTTAGAATATATACTGTAATATTTCAGATCTCTTTAAATACACATTCAGGACGGCACTGACTTTGATTGGGAGGCAGCCCACGAGGGGCATGTGAAATGGTGCCAGGCAGCGGGTGTGAATCCGGAAGTGACATCTGCAGAGGAAGAGCCTGAGACAGAGCCTGCTGCGGAGACCGTCAGCAAGTGCGGCTCTTGCCATTGGTTGGACGGTGACGGGCGGTGGCACGTCGGGCCTGTCCCCGAGCTCGATGATGAGACCACCGGCCAGAATGATGGGGCCGAGGGCCAGGACGCGCAGTGGGAGGCCGATGGAGATGATCTCGAGGTTCCCGAGCAGGATGACGAGCCGTGGGAACAAGCTGCCGAGAATGATGATCCCCGCGAGCGGGCCGAGCAATGGGGAGCTTGCGAGAATGACGATCCCGAGCAGGCCGGGGATGAAGCTTGGGAGGATGATGATCCTTGCGAGCAGGCCGAACAATGGGAAGCTTGCGAGGTTCACGATCCCGAGCAGGCTGCGGATGAAGCTTGGGAGAATGATGATCCCCGCGAGCAGGCGGAGCAGTGGGAAGCTTGGGAGAATGAAGATCCCAAGCATGACGAGCAGCGGGAAGATGACGAGAATGATGATCCCGAGCAGGAGGAGCAGTGGGAAGATGGCGAGAATGATGATCCCGAGCAGGACGAGCAGTGGAAAGATGGCGAGAATGATGGTCCCGAGCAGGACGAACAGTGGGAAGATGGCGAGAATGATGATCCCAAGCCGGACGAGCAGTGCGAAGATGCTGATGATGAAGATGCGGGCCAGTGCCCCAAGCATGAGAAGCAGCGGAATGAAGAGTGGCCTGAGAGTGGCCAACCAAAGGAGGCTCCAGGTGATCACGTGGCCGGAAGCGCCGAGGCCGATTCCACATGGGTAAATTGGCCAAGAGCGGCAGCCACGAACGTGACCCAGGACTACCCCACGAAAGACGACCAACAGCGCCTCGATGCCTGGTGGTCCAAATACCGGGTTAAGGAGATATGCTGACTAACATGGTTCTAACTAATTATACCCTCCCTCTTCCAGTAGATTTTCCGATGTGCGCACAGGAGCCTACCCCCGTCGAGAAGCAGGAGATTGGGAACCCCGACCTGCCCGCAAGCCTCGAGGACAGTGATATTTACGATCGACTTGTAAAGTTGTAAGACATATTATAGGCACACCCGTAAACACTAGATTATACTTAAGGATAACATGGTGTTAGATCATGGAAGTCATTGCAAGCAATGTGCCCATGAAGTTTAAAGAAAGAAAACTCTGTGTAAGCAAAGTTCAATTCGATTGGCACATATATAAATAACTAAGAAAGCATACACATGTGCACGCACCATGTGTACAAAAGTATGTATGTGTGTGACCTCCCGTGGTTTAGGGTTTAATGTTAGGGATAGTTCGAGGTTTAGAGTTATACAGGATGTTGCGAGTATGTTTTGTTTCGGGGATTGATGCTTTTTGGGGATAAGGTATTTTGGTACAGGGAGTAGGACTTTAGTTTAGGGCTGCTAGCTTTAGTTTAGGACTGATAGGTGAATATATGTAGACTATAGGTAGTAACATAAAATATAGTAGACTATGACCATGTCATGTCAATATATAGATGTTATGAACAAAATATCGAACTAGTTTTCTGAATAGCTATTATATACGCCCACCGGTATTATGAAAATAACATTTCCAGTCATAAATCAACAACCGCTACAGTTTCTGCATATGATACCAAACTAAAGATCTAAACGACAGCCATGCACCAGGACATGGCGTCGTGGCTTGATGCGGCAACGGATGACGAGAAGCTTCGGCTTTGCAACCAGCTTGTCGACTCTCGGTGGCTTTGTTACTACAGTCATATATGCAGACTTGCCCCAAATTTGCCCCAAATTAAACACGCATGGCTTTCGGAGCAGAGTTTGTAATGCTTAAGGCTGCAAAATTGAAGAAGCCGGATGGCCTCGCCGATGGACAAGCTTCGACAGCCCCGTCTAGAGCTGAGTATTCATGATCAACCTAGTCATAGCCTAGATCGATGTATAAGATCCCCAGAGACGTCGCCCAGGTGCCGGAGTCCGAAAAGTCACGCCGCAGCTGCCGTGGAGGCCACCGGCCAACGAGTGCATTCGACAATTGTGTGTTTGTGCACGCACGCAGCTACAATCCTACAACCTTGATACGTTTGGTTCAAGAACATCGACCTCAAGATCATTCCAAGAACCGGGGTTCTTGTACATTAACCTACTAAGCTACATTCTTGTTTCGATCGAGGACCATGAGATTTTACTCTATGGCAGGGTTTGTGCTTTGAAGTCAGCTGTTAATTCAAAGCCCAGCCGCATTCTCAAGCTTGCAGGCCGTGATGCCCAGCAACGCGAAGCCTGATCGCACCCGGGACACCAAAGGTCCTGCAGCGACTTCGGCTTGAGATTCGTATTGCACTACAGGGTCCATGGGCTGGCTATATGTTTAGAAGTACGGGTCTTGCGCTTATAGAGGCTGTTCTCGAGTGAGTTTGATTGAATCTAGCTAAGGCATTCGAGATCCCCACAACGAGTGGATTCCCGGGTGTGCCTGACAAAGTCATGAAGGCTGCTCTAGGTGGGACTCATAGTCCGGTCGTCCCTCATTGCCAGAGGCTTTTGGTGGCGGCATGCAAGAACCCCGAAATCCCGCAAACGGATGAGGCAGCACCCGCCACTGGTAAGGATGCCAAACCGAAGCCATCGGCGAAGTCCAAGGCTAGTGCAAAGCCTAAGGCAGGCGCAAAGGCTAAGAGCAAGGGCAAGAAGAAGCAGCTCAAGAGAGCACCCTATGCCGATACAGAATACAATGTCCAGAGAAAGAAGTTCTTTGCCACGTTGCTCATCTGAATATCTACACCTAGGGTGGAACCACTGCCGAAGCTTGAAATTCTAGCCCCTGTGCCATCCCAGGCTTCCGCCAATGCCACAGGCCGAGCGACAGAGCAGGCCGCGAATGTTATATAAGAAAGCTTCGGTGTGTGCGAGAGTTTGGATCAGCGGGTAAGTCTCGTTCTAATTTCTTCGATAGTTGTGATACTTCCCGGCCTGTGGATCGACAAATGATTTTTAGTCTGATGCAGTCCAGCTGCTTCGAAGGATGCAGGTCATAGATCGATGTATGCAAATATATGTATATATATATATACATACCTAATAGTTTTTGGGTCTCCAGGGTATTAAGACGTAGCAAATATAATAGTAAGCATTTTTCATGGATAGAGAAACAATAAACACACAAATGCTTATTAAGGCTACTTATAATAATAATGGTTTGGTCTTAGCTTAATATTAATGGTACCGGTACCTAATATGTTAGCACGAGTAATTAAGTGTTAGTGTGATAGACGTAGCTTATAACTAATGGACCCTACATTGCTTCGGGGATACGGTTGTTATCTGAATTGGTTCGACCCGGGGAACATTAAGATAGTTGGAATTCAGGAGCTAGCTACAGTAGTGTTCGGGCATTAATATCTAGGATCAGGCGCAGTCGTTGCCTTAAATTCATGGGGGGAAGGTTTGTGCAATAATATTTGGGTTGCTTGTGGCTTTAGAGCTTTTTGAATTATTTTCTTCGAACCGTGGGGCTTCTGTATGTTCAATCACACTCCTTGACCCTAAACCTCATAAGAACCAAAACTCAGACCCGAGACTACGGTACCTGCACACTGTCCTCGAGATCACATATATGTCGTCGTTCAGTGATCGGCAGTCCTTCCAGAAGTACAGAGAGAGATGGGGAACGCGAGAGAGAGACAGAGAGAGAAAGAGTGGGCTTGCATGGGTGCTTCTGATCTACACTTAAGGGGTCAGCGTAAAAGAGCTGCTTTAAGATGTTGTGCTTATATCAGGCACTGGTCACGTGGTTCCCGTCAATCGGTGTTTGAAAGACTACTATCTAGATAGAGGGCCCAGATCAAAGAGAGTGGGTGAACCATGGACGACGCTGAATGTATGGGGATCTATTGATCCCGTCGCCACTGGCGGCAGGCAAGCGGCGAACTAGCCCGCTTCGGCTTTGGCATGCGACGCGATTCCGCAGATCTGCAATTAACGACTCCGAATGCGCATGTGTTGGCTAGCTCCGAATTCACATGAATCCATTTTCAGCTAGCGCATGCATGATGTGCACTCGGTTATAATGATCAATGCAATTTTGTTCGCGGTGCACCGTCGGTAAGATTGCAACACATTTATCATTGGGGAGCTGGGTGTCTTTAGGTTTTCGGAGTCCAAGGGATGAGTCGTTGATTATACCAGGGCTTCGTTTTGTAATCCGAATCTATAAGTCTTAAACCAATCTCCTGCGAAACGATGTACAAATCCGGAACCTCCATAGAGTAGATACGATTACCGGCCTGGATAGATTTGGGTTTAGATATATTTGCTATATGTCTCTATACTTGAAATCACAGGTTTATATGCTAGATACTACCCAAGTTGAAATACGAATTAGGGCTCCTAAATTCTAGATTAAGCTCGATTATATACCCTTGTTCCGCCGTGCAGGTGGAACAACAGTGAGTTCAGGAAGCAGGTGCTGGCCGGCATGGGCATGGATGTCAACGAGATGAAACGTCGCCGCTATGCAATTTGCTAGCTTTTGGCGCTTTTGACTGCAAAGCTGTGCGCGATCTACTGCATGCATGTGAAGCAGGGGATTGCGTCAGGAGCTGGGGCCCGGCTAGCCATGTGATATATCTGCAGTGCATGCAACACTTATACTGGAGGCAATTCTTGATAGGCTCGGCAAGCTTCATGCTGACGCAGGGGGCTTCGATCGCATGCAGTGTGTGTGCACGCGGCTTTTCGCTTTGCTGCTTCGAAGATACGAGCAGAGCAGACTAATCTCGCAACTTGGGGATCGAAGAGCTCTCGACCCGAAAATCATCTGCCAGGTTTGTGGATATACGCTTGCAGTTCGATTCTCACTTAATGCAGCATCTTCAAGTCTTCAACCGATGCTCGCGGTCTTGTGTATGCATGGCTGCCTGTATTCGCATTTGTGTTGCTCGCAGTTATGTAGGTCTTCAAATCAAGAGTAGAGTGCTCCCTATTCTATAGATAATACTACTCTATCTACTACGTACGATGAAGTTCACCCAGCTCCTTCCGGCTCTGGCGACATTGAGGAACAGCGGCTCGGCCAATTTCAGTGAGAGCATGAACTGATCCTCAGACAATCATGTTGCTATTTGCCACGACGGGGGTTTGGCTCTGTGATCGGGCTCAGGCTTTGGCCCCAAAGACGACAACGATTTGCATTTTTTGGAAATCTTTGCAGGACTGATGACCACAGGATTTGTCGACGTATGAGTTGTTATGCTGTATCGAGCATTGTACGAAGGAGAACATCTACTCTATTCCGCTGCCAGATTATATGGCCTCACTGCCCACGGAGTGGATGAGTCTTTACTGTGTACAGTCGTTGAGATGTGTGGTAGCATTAATTCTGAGACTTGTATTCTGCTTCCCAGGTGACTTATTCCTCCAAGTTGAATATCTTATCCTCATTCGGCTTCTTGGTGTTCCTTTACAACGCAACTCGACAAGCATTTTGCGAGGCCCGAACACAAAAACCCAAACTTCGAAGCATCAATCCCAAATCCCTATCCAAAACCCTTATTTGAACAAGCTGTGATTCCCGGTTATCCTAAATATGCCTTTGGTAATTATAACCCGAATCCCAGGTCTTCAGCTCCCTGCTTCGAACTGAAACTTAAGCCCAAGTTCGCTGTAGACTTAAACCCTATCCGGAGTCTCAGGCTTGGTGTTCCCGATTCTGTTAGTTTTAGGATTGATGGATGCAGACTCACTTAGGCCAGGAGGCTTCGTCCCCAGGGCATCGCCTGGTACGCCGTTCCGTGCAGCAGCTGGATTTTCATGAGTTTTGACTGATATATATATATATATATAGCACTGTGGCATCAAGTTTAGCTAAGAGATCGTTGTGTTATCACGATATCTACTTCATGGTACAAGCTTAGGAGCCGGGGATCCTCCAAGCGCCGACGCTTCAATATCAAAGGCCAGTGAATGCTTGCAAGTGCATATTCACGAGTTGTGCTAGACTTTACTCTATGGGCATTTATATCTATATATATATATATATATGCGAAGGTGATGACAATCGCGACAAGGTAAAGCAGGCCAACCGGTTGGCACGTCGGGTGGCCTATCTGTCCCTTTGTTGCAACTGGTGCTGATCGATGACTCTATAGCTACTTTAATAGAAGACGTTGAAGCTTGTTCAATCAGGCTCGAGTATCAGCATCGAGCTGGGTCGTTCTACGTCCTCGAAAACCCCAGCGGCTCTATGCTTTTCGACTATCCGTGTGTGAAGGTTCTTCGGCTTGCATATATTGACCCCACAAACTGAAAACCCGACCCCAAAGCCGAAGCCATATACCCAAAATCACCCTATAGAATTCAGGCGCGGCTGCGGGCCCACCGTGCGAAGTCGATAAACCTCTGCCTCGGGGCACTTGGAGCTCCGTCGAGAAAGTGTGTTGCCTGTCCTATATACGAAGCGTGGTGACGTTCAACATTCCCATATCAATCGACTCAGGTTACACTATGGGGTACTGCACCGTTCATGGACAAGCTCTATGAACAGCTGACTGGAACAAGGAGGTGCCATCGACCTGAGTTACCCATTAGTCTAGTTCGCAAATAGTTCCAGAATTATGGGTCTCACACATGCACAGGGAAGTGGATGGGAATATACATGCTGTGCCTAGTCATAAGACTACATCGTGTGCAGATTTCTAGCAGAACACATGATCATATATATATATATATACATTTATATATAAACTTACATACGTGTATATGTACATATATATATATACGTATGCTGTGCATTTTAAATACACATATTAAAATCATGTATTGCATCCGATGTATATATATATATACATCATTTTTCAAAGCCAATACTTAAGTCGACTTTCAAGCACGTACACACATGCATATGTACAGATATGTAGATATATATATATATATACATATAATGACAGGGCAGGAGTTCTGGAACATAGATCTTTGCTAAGGATCTAGATAACCGGTTATAATTAGGGGTATTCGGGTTGTGGTGCGGCGTCACGAGTGCAATCTTCTCAATCCCTAAACCCAACACCCTAAACCCTAAACCGCGATAGCCTTGTTATATACTAGTTAGGTATCAAACCTATCTCTTTATGAGTGGTTTCTTCCACTACACTGGATGTTTGTTCAGCTATTAGTTTACCTGAAGATAAATATATCGTTAGACGGTAGGTGACCTACATATTCCTGGAATATACATATGAACCACACCACTAGTAGTCCGAGCATGTGCACATATACATGTCTTAATGCTTGGCTATATACCCACTGACTCTGCAAAGCTGGATTAGGGTCTGAATACAGTGTTGGGCACTTGCATGATCTAGACTTACAATATACTTCACCTGAATCAGGAACCAGCTGCGACGGATCCAGTCATTCCTGAAGATGGACATCAGCAGGGGATATATCGATGAACACGGCCGTTCCCGGCGAGCTCCTTGTCGCTTGTATCTGCTTGTTCGTTTTCATTCAAAAGAATCTTGTGCCATTAACTATATATATATAAGCATGGCTCTGCATGCAGGTGGGAGGGAAGGATCTAACGAAGACCGCCGTTTATCCCGGTACTTTGGCACTGAAGGCCCCTTGCTTGAAGAGACTTGACACTCCCTGATAAAACCTCTTGCAAATGCACGCTCTGTATGATTGAGGTTGCCGAGCTAATGGAGGAGCACTTCGCGACCCTGAAGCCAAGAGCTTCTGTCAGCGAGCTGGATATGGAGCTGTGCGATACCAATGATGCTGACAGCTCCGATTCCGGCCTGGAGGGTTTGGTCGGCTCCTCCATGCAGTAGCTACGCAGCTGCCAAGTTGCGTGTCCTTATTTGCAGCAGCTTGAATCAGGGGTCAGCTGCTATGGTGTGCACACATATATAGCCTTAGCGCCGACCGCAATCCTCGATGGAACCCAAAACCAGTCGCTGTGTGTGTTTGTGCGTGTGTGTGTGCGTGTGTGTGATAACAGATGCTATTGGAGCTTGCGCGGCAGCTAGCGTGTATCAGCGTGTATCCCCGTGTATTTGCAGGTAAGAACCGCCGAATAGCGTGTATCAGCGTGTATCCGCGGTTAGATTCATTTGCCACATCGCACGCACCCCGAAGCATCACCGATCGAGCCAGACTAAAGCTATTTGAGCTTTAGATCGTGCAGCCATGGGCCGTGGGTCGGGAACCAAGGGTAAACACCCGAAAGGGGCGGGCAACCCGGGCGGTGCCAGTGATGCCGCCGAGCCGGTGGACGTGTCGCTAGAGACAAGGCCTCGTCATTACACCTTTGTGGGCAAGGCGGTGCCTGACGACGAGAGTGCTCGTGCTGCCGAGGGAAAGCAGTCCAAGGGCAATGGCAAACGCCATGCTAAGGATGGTGGCAAAACCCCTGGNNGGGCGGCAACGCCCCTGGTAAAGCCTCTGGTAAGACCCAAACGAAGGGTGGTGGCAAATCCCCGGGTAAGGATGTCCCCGTTGCAAAGGGTACCGGCAAATCTCCAGGAAAGGATGGTGGCCCCGGTGCAACTACGGGAACCGGTAAAGCTGCAGGAAAGGATGGTGGCCCCAAGGGTGCCGGCAAAGTTCCGGGCAAAGATGGTAGCCCCGTTCCAAAGGGTACAGGCAAAGTGCCGGGAAAGGACGCTAGCCCCGTTGCTAAGGGTACCGGCAAAGCTCCAGCTGGAAAGGATGGTGTGGGTGAGGATGGCCCCCTTGCAAAGGGTACCGGCAAATCCCCTGGCAAAACCCCTGGTAAGGATGGATGCAAAACCGGTGGCAAGGATGGAGGCGCAACCCGTGATGATGGAGGCAAAGCCAACGGCAAGGATGGGTGCAAAGGTCCTGGCAAGGCGGCTTCAAAGGATGCTGGCGTCCCCGACTCCAAGACCAAGGGCACCAAAGGTGGGAACACGAAGGGTGTCGGCAAACAACAGGGTAAGCCCAGCACAGCAGAATCTAGCAAAGGAAAGGGCGCCGGCGATCAGGAGCTGCACACACCAGTAAGGACTTCGATCCTGGGAAGCCCGAACACCGGCACACCGCCGTCCAAGCCAGACGGGACCAAAGGAGCCATCACTGAGCCCGGGAAGCCAGCCAAGGGTGCAAAGGGAGGGACCTCGGCCGTCGAAGCCACCGCGAGCTCCAACGAGGAGAGAGGCAAGGGCAAAGCCCTTGTTTCCAAGGGAAAGGGAGGGCAGCAGGGTGAGAAGCAATCTGGATGGAAAGACAATTCAGTGTGTCGCCGAGTGTCATTCGACGGAGGCGGGAAATTTAAGCTCTAGCCACGCATTTTCATGATCGATGATCGAATCATATTGCACTGTACTTGTGAATTCTTGCAGCCTCCGTCGAATCGCCGAGCCCGTCTACGCCAAACCTGTCTGCGAAGCTCCTTGACTAGAGTTCTATGCTATATGCATGTATAAATGCTCTACGTATATTTTTCTTTGCTATATCAAATACCCAGGGCCGCCCACCCAATCCTACGTATGGATACCAATATCTCGCTAGCAAGCGATGGTACTGGATCGGTGGCAATGGAGCCACTGCAGCTCCCTGATCATGGCGGTGTATCTTAGCGGCATCAAACATGTTTCAATATTGTGCATGCATGAATGTGTCAGATGTTATATGTGAATATAGATGTGTATTGTACTTGAGGTGCGAGATCTCACTGATGAAGAACGACAGCAAATTGAAGTGCCCTGGCTCGAGCTTGGATCGTCTTAAGTATGCCACTCTAGCCTTCAATCCTAGATTCACATATCCCCATATTCCCCACGAAACCTCTTCTGTGCAGCCAGGCTCTGTCGTGCCCAAAAGACATCCCGCTGCAGCAGCGCAAGGCCTTGAACGAGAAACTTAGGAGGCGCATGACGAGCGGTACAGGCCGGGTTCTATTTATCTTGGGCAGCCTAAACTTGTATGTTCGATGAGTATCAAGCTATATAGCTAGATCACAGGCCTACGCAAAGGCTTGGTTGCCCAATGGAATGCAACGCCCCCGGGATCGATGGCACGGCTCCTTAGCTACGTTCGGAAACCCATCACGCTGAAGCCCCACCCCTGAACCTCCCAAATCACCCCATATCTTCCAAAACATATATATAGCCTAGACAAAACCATAAACCTCGCACACTCGAAATCCTACAACACCTATAAACCCCACACTCCAAAAACCCCATAGAAACTTCAAATGCTATAAGCTCTCGCTGCCAAGGTTTGCCTTTTTAAAGGCATTCCTGCTTGACAAGGACTTAGCCACAATCGAAGTTCAACCTTACTTCGAGGAGTGGCTGGGCTGATTCTTAGATACTTGTTGCCTTGGACCGATTTCCTGCCATGATCTGCAATATGCCGAGGTTGACAGAGAACAAAGAGAAAGAACAGTTCGAAGAACTGCCTCTATGTGTCATTAAGGAGAAATACAAGAATCTAGAAGGAGGAGACAAGTTTATCCAAGAACTCCAGAAGAGCGGCTGCCCCAGTCTTCATAGGATGACTTCCATCGGGATCTTATTCATATACCCTAACTAGAACCATAACCTATTCTTGAAATTAGTGGTGAGGTCAAGCCGGGAAGAAGCACCCACAGTTTGATGATGAGAATTGGCGCATCTACAAGATTTTTAAGTCCATCGCGACGACCAGTGCCGTGGGCCAGACCATAACATGTACGATGCGAGTGCTAGCTCTATACCTCGTTCGGTGTATGTCGATCATATATGTATGCCAAGGTGCGAACATCAATCGGGTCGGGAACAAGACGAAGGCCAGAATGGAAGCCTCGGGAAATCGAGCAGAACGAAATGCTATCGCAGAAACGCTCGAAGCTAAAGTAGCTTCCATGGGCAAGCCTGCCACGGCGAGTGGCAAAGGAAACAACAAGGGTGAAAAAAAGCGCAAGAAGGACGGTGAGATTATTGCTGGGGTTCGTTTGGTGGTGTTCTCTTTATAAGGGCTAGTGACCTATATGTGCCTGCAGGAACTCACTGTGGAGGAGAAGGAGGGAAAGGATTTTCAGAAGGACTTGCAAGCGTGACTCGATATGTTTAGTTCAAGACGGTTGTGGCCATGTACATGTTATCGCACAATCATCTTAGGTTGCGGGATCTCAGCGACAAGGCGGTCACCGTGGCAGCTGGATTGGGCAAATCTGGGCTGGCCAAACAGGAATCCTACATCGCTCAGCTCGGCTCCATTTCCAAGGAATGTGACCGGATCCGTGATGAGTGTTTTGTCTTCAAATTCGGGTTTATATAGGGCTTATAGGGTTAAGATGTAATCCGCAGTCATTTGAAATAGCCTTAACTTACTACCCCCTTCATCCCGCATAGATTGTCCCGGCCAAAACATTAAACGCGAAAATCCAGAAGCTATATCATTACCTCAAATTTCCAGCCCACCCAAACGTGATTTGTAGATAGAATTACTATTAGGCCAAGGCCAACTCACAACCTTGAAGCCAGTTTCAGTACTACTTTATCCCAACCCTGAACACATCACTATAGACACCCCCCAACCCAAAGCCGGAGCACCATAATCGGCACAGCCATCCCAGGATCCAGCAGATGATTTTCGCATCGTTGCCGTTTGCCCAATGCCTTGAGACGATGCAATATTACAAAGACGGTGTCCTCAAGGATCGTCTAAATATTGCTGGTTTTTGCAAATTCGTTGTTCGAGATCGATGCACCTGCAGGATTACCAACGCCAGGTTGTGGATGCTGAGGTAATATTGCAAGGCCATGAACGCCGTTCTTTGCTTGCAACAATTCTTTCAACCCTCAACCTTGCACCCCTAATCCCGAAACCGAAACCCGGATCCCTGAACCCTGAAAGCCCAAACCCTGCGAAACTTAGGTAAGGCAGCTGAGAAGAGAAAGCGCGAGAAAGCTGAGGAGGAACAGAAGAAGAAACAAGTGAAAGATGCCGAAGGCGCTGAAGAGGAGTTTCTAGATGAGCCGGATGAGGAAATGGAGGAGGGACAAGAAGATGAATATTGGCCAGATGATGGACACGAGGCCGCCGAGGAAGCTCCCGCGAAGCGCCACCGAGCCTAGCAGGCTGCTTTGATCGATCCGGTGTTGTTTGATCAATTCCGGACGGGTAGTCAGATTGCACTGTGAACACAAGCAGCTCAATCCCGACATAAGGCTGGCTTTAGCACGATGCTATCAGGGCCTTCGTAAGCTTTAGATACTCAAGACGGTTTTTCTGCTGGCTCAGTCGGGCGGCTGCTGCATGTGCCTAGATCAGTGATCGAAGCTGACGTGGGTTTTGCCTGGGCATAAGAACTGCTTGGGCGTCATGATCATGATCATATTGCCGGGGTGATGTCAAGGTGCTTTGAGGGCAAAAGATGCATCGCTCCGGCCTGCCTTGATGTATCATCTCGCTTCTATGCGCAGTGCATCATCGAAGAGCAGCGATACATTTCATACCTGGGCTTCAGATGGCTCCTTATGTACGCACCCTCCCCGAGAACCTAGAACCCTCTTCTAATTCTATTGTTATGTTGGTCCCGCGTTAACACGCCTGGAGCTTGCCCTCAATTTTGACTAGTTCTAGAGAAACCTATGTTGTTGACACAACATAGCATTTTCTTCGTGTATACACCAGTAATCGTCGATCTATCTCCCGAACAATATGCACCGCAAACCCATAGTTCAATAACTACTACACGTAAACCATGGGCTTCGAGTGGCGATGGTCACGAGCGAAGCTAGCACATGGGCCAGCCAGTATGTGAAGGATACATGTGAGGACATTCTGAAGCTCTTATCTCTTGGCCAGGCTTGGCTGCCGAAAGCATCCATTGATCCTGAGTTATACGTTTAGGGTTTAGGGTGTCCCATAAGTCCAAACAAACAAATACCAAAACATATAAGCCCAGAACTCTACTAGAACCCTAACCCCTTGGTACCCAGGATTCTAATTCTAGGAGTCGTCGGAACTTAGGCTCACGTTTACGGGTTAGATTATAGGGGTTTAACATCATAGTTTTTAGTGTAACCGCCATGAACGCTTCCAGGTCCCCCTCGATCAGCTTGCCACTTCGCTGGAACGTCTTCGCCGCCTTCCTCAGTCTGTTGTGCCGTCGCTTGGGAGCAATTGATACCTAATTTATTCCTGAGCTGGTTGGGATATTGGTGAACCCAATTTATCCGAGGAAAGACTTATTAGAACTGGCCCATTCGTTTATCAATGAGAACTGTTGGGGCCAACTTCGTTGCCTCATTCGGTGGACAGATCGTCAACCCTGGAGAAAAGTGTTGCCTCAGCCCTTCATGAGACCTGGCTGCTTGAAACCGTTTCGGATATTGGCTTGTCTTTCAATCCTTTATAAAGCGCGACCGATGATCCAAGGATTCAACTGAAAGCGGCCCTGCGACTTGAATAAAAGACTAGTTGTCCATGTCTGCAGCACAAGTGTCGCCCCAGGTTTATGAAGATGCCCATGGCCAGCGGTGTCGCCTCGTGCAACATCATCTTTTACTACCGCATGAAATCCTTGGTTCCCTCTATGACACTGGCAACCTTGGGCTGGTAACCGGGAAAGCTACTGGCCTCAACGATATGGTTTTTTTCGAATATCTCTCTCTCTCTCTCTC